AAAAGCCTGAATACGTTTTCGGACTAATATCGGATACCTTTGAAAGGTGCTTGGCAGGAAAAAATGAATTTCGGAAAAAGTGACAGGATTTCTGAATTTATAGAAACGGATCACTTTTCCCGGAAACAGTGTAGCGTTTCCTGGTTTGTCACTGTATGAAACGCTTTTAAGATTTTCGATGCCCGGAAACTCATTTTCTCCTTCCAGGAACCATTCAAAGGTATCCGATATTAGTCCGAAAATGTATTCAGGTTTTCGGAATCAGCCTGGAAACCTATTTTGGTTTTCGAAAGCTCGGAAGCCTATGCCCGCGCTTCCCGGGGAAACGATTTTTATTTAGAGTGATACTTACGTTGAATAGTCGTTGAACATCTTCTAAACTAAATATTAACTATGTTTCTTCGATGAAAATGATCTTTTCAATGCTAATAAGAATAGACCTTAGAATTTGCATATTTGTTCGAAGTTTTCAAACTTTACAAAAAAACGTTTTAGCCGAAAAAATATGCATTTGAGATGTGTCCAACTAACAAATCAGCTTTTCTTCAAGTTTCAGATGTCGTGTAAGTAGCTCATTGAGCAAATCATTTTATTTCGTGATAAAATGTAAAATTAATATTGGTACACTTTACTAGAGGCTCATAACGCAATATTCATGCTGAATTTTTGTTGGTGAATAACATTTTACAAACCAGTGTTGAATATCATTTTCGATCGTTTAATATTAAACGAACTTTAGAAAATTATTAATTAAAGGTTCAATAAACATTTCTCTTATAATTTAGCTGAATAAACTAGAATAATTTTAAATATTCTTTGAATAGCTGTCACAAAAGAAAAATTAAATTTATCGCTTGAAACTATCGTTTTCCCAGGTTTGTTCTATCGGAGCGCTATGTATTACTCTTCCGATAGGTTTCTTTTTCTCAAGTACTCTAAACTCCGATGAGTGACGAGGGATCTAAAAATTTTTGAAGAGTCAAAAATAGGTTTCCGATTGGACAATTTTCGAGTCCTCGAAATTCGATGACTGCTGAGGGGCTCGAAATCGAAACAGAACGAACAAAAATGATGTAGTTTACATTTCCAAGCACTCATAACACTCATCGTACGCTTTTCAATGTCTTGCAAAGGTATACCTTTACAAGGTGAAATGTTTTATTGAAAAATACTTTTTAAATATTGATGCCTCAAATTAGTAACATGCTTCTAGTTAATAGTATATGCAAATTTAGAAATTCGAATTATAACAAGTCAATGGAATATCTTCTACTGAAATATGACGTAAATTTGATTGCATAATAATAATGAAAATATACTACCAAAACCATGAAGCAGCAATACACAAGCAAAATGTTTTACACCTGTTCCAACTGCATGACTAAATTTTGAAAGAATAATATTTCGTTAGATTTACTTATGTTGATACTTTCAGTGCTGTGTCCTGTAGTTTCTTGATGGTAGATATGTCGAAAAGTTCTCAAATATTTAAAGTAATCGTATCACAAAAAGTTTTATTTGCATTCGAAGAAACCTAGGGAACCTATTTAGATGCTCATTTTCTACCTGTCATTCAAGGAAAGAAATAGGTTGTACGTCGTTAAGTTGCGAGCCTGCTTGAGTGTTTTTCAGATCGTTTCAATTGAAATAAACATACATTTAAAAAACAATATTTCCATTTATTCTTTTCTTTTTTCTTTCAAATAATGAACTGATATTCTATATTTAGGTCTTGGTGGAAAAGAGCGAAAAGGAAAATAGCGAAAGAAAGACAAAGAAAACTTCCATATATGGATATTTTCTTTTCTTTTTTTTCGCTATTTTCCTTTTCGCTCTTTTCCTCCAAGACCTATATTTAAATCAAACGATCTATCATAAAGTGTATCACTCATAGTGCACTGTATAAATATGTTTTATTATTCTTTTTAAATCATTCGAGAAAACTGTCGATCAAATTTTCGGAGCAATAATAATCAAACTTGAAGGCTGCAAAAAAAACATATTTTTGAATTTCTTTTGAATATTAAGAAAACGTTTTGATAACATAAACTCAAATATTGTTCGTCCACAGACCACTGAATACATTCTTTGATATAGGCCGGAATAAATGAAGAAACTTATAGTTTTTCTAAATCCTTTGAAATTTCTATGCTATCTGATAAAACTTTACATTGAAAAAACAGTTAACTCATGGTAGCTTTTGCAAGCCTGCCGTAATTCCATCAATAACTGCATCAATAACACAAAAACATAAGTATTGTAGAAAGACGAGGTCTGTGGCGCCTCAATGAAAAAATTACCCACAACTTCAAGTTTACTCGTACTATGACAACCTATTCAAATTTTCATATGAAGATTAATCAAAACAAGATGAAGCCATAGGAGTCTGCGGCAACTACTAACCATGAAATGTTGTGGTTTGTTGTTGATTTAAGCTTAGTTGCCAGCAGTATGCTGACTGTTTTATAAAAAGCAGAAATTGATTGTCGTTTTTATGCATGTGAATTAATCAGATTCCGAAATGCATTATTGACATGTACATTAGTGATCGAAAAATATCGAAAGAAAAAAGATGTTGTTGTTGTTATGTAGCGGTAAACATAAAAACCCTTCGCATTTTTCATTAAACTGCAGCAGTCTTTTTTTTACCAATCAAGCTAAAAGAAGTAAGTGTGGGCAAAGCAAAGAATTCAAGGTATGAGTAGGCCATTCAATTTCGCAGCTCTTAATTAAAAAGATTGATTAATTGTGTTTGTTTATCACTTAATATGATATGAAATGAATTACAGGAGCATTAGTGTTCAAATTAAATGATAAACACAACATCTAAATTTCAGTATCATGTATTAAGTGAATCCATTCAGTTCTTGTCCTAGCTTACGTCTTATTAGATAAAACTATCTAACTCTAATTCTTATTAGCATTATGCAGATAGTTTGTTGTTAACGGGTAATTATTTTGTGAAGTGCTGAAAAATATTTAAAACCAATAGAACAAGATTATAACTTGTTTTACATGCATAACTTTGGAGAATAGAGAAAAATCAATCAATCTATAAATAAACTATTAGAATATTAAACAAATGATAGTCAGATTAAGTTTTTTCAACTTGAGAAACTTTGATAGAACTCAATAAATAAAAATTCTTTTTGCTTGAGTTCTATTCATTGAAATAATCATACAAATGCTAAAGCAAAACCAAGGTCACTCAAAAAGTAAAAAATAGAAACAAGACAAAAAAAGAGCGAGAGAGAACAATCGTAGTTGTAGTTGACAATAATACAATGAAGAATAAGATGAGTTTGAATAAAATGAAATGAAAATTATTGATCACTACCGAAGAAAGAATAAATAGGTAGGAAAATAATGAGTAGTGTCTAGATGCTTCTATCAGATTTTGGTAGATTCCTGAAGAAAAATAGTATGTACAACAAAGATATCTGTGCTGAGATAAATAAACCAATTAACTTACGAATTTTAGCAATGCTATCAGTAGTAAATGTGCTGTTGAGCATTTAGTCTCGAGATCGGTTTCAACGAGAAAAGTCAATTCATGTCATCATGAACCTTTCTATGAAGATTATCGCTTCAAATTATGTTTTTCCAAAACCAGTGTAAAGTCTAAATCAGATCAGTATATAGGTTTTAGTCTTCTCCGGATATATTGTTTGAAATAGAATTCAAGTTAGTTACTATCTGTGGGTAAACGAGAGCGTATTATAAAAAGTAGCGCATTAGCAATGATGAACGAGAAGTAGTTGGAGGAATGGAAATGTCCCTGCTGAGTAGTAAGTAAAAGAATGAGTATAGAAGCATTTTCTCAATACTTCATTAGATAGTGTTCTATCGACACGACGCCACTCTATAGTTAAAAAAGAGTGTTTTGAATGCTCTTCAAGCGTTTACTGAAGTAACACTTCAGTTTTAGTTAACCATTCCAAATTCATCCTACATACTTGATGGTGTCTGTCAATCGTCATTCCCCTCTGACTTGAAATGAAACTCCCATACTTTTAAAACAATATGTAATATGTTGCAATTTTTCGAATAGTAATGGACTATTTTTTAAATCAAGGATAGTTCTCAATGCTACTATATCATTTATTTTCTTCGGCCTGTGTATTTTTCACTCGAGAATAGAACGTTCTTGGAAGTGAAGCATGCATAATAATCACCGGGTCGTCTTCAAAAAGGTGTTCTGAATAGACACATAAATAGAATATAAAACTACTATGAGATTTTGCTAAAATATTAGACATTGGACTACTTGCATTTCGAGAGGCGTATGTCAACATTGCAGATATTAATTTTATTTTTGTTGAATTATAAATATATACTCTACGATCATCAAGTCTATTAATGATTATTCTGAATAAGCTATGTGGTTTGCTTAATTTGTGGGGTTTTATGAAATCGAAAAAAAAAACTACAGTTGTATAGTGTTGTAAACTGAGGGTGCGGTTGTGGGTGCAGTATATGTGCGGAAAGGGGAACAAGAACGTGAGTAAGGAATTTTACTCTCTTCCCTCATCATTCTTCTCTTTTCGCTCTCCATTCTTTCTCTTCTTGCTTTCTCCCTGCTCTTTCTCAGCTGAATAGATGTGACATCGCTATGCTACTGCATTTTTCGATTTTGGTAGAATTCCACAAACTTTCCATTCAGTTGAATTTTCAACAAATTCAAATACTACTTGAAGTGTTCGATCTGTTGTCTATTGTGCTAGAATATATCAAAAGACTTCTCATAATCGGCACATATGAAGAGCTAAAGTTTAAATATCTTAATCGTTTGATAATATGCTCGTAAGAAGATAGCACACGGCTGGGAACTCTAACTGTTTCCGAGCTATAGCGATGGTACTGTACAATTTTTCTGTTCTTGCTCGATTTGCATTGCTATGTTGAACTATTGACATTTTCTAAGGATTTCTCGTTGATAAAACCTTTTCAGAACAGAAATATCGTCAGCGAGTCAATTATCAATGGTGAACGAACGTAGAATGGAAAGTTCTGAATCATCCTCGGTTGAATACAATCGTATTGAAAAACCATCAAATTATATGGTGTACAATATTACGCCGACGTTTGTCAAAATCGAGCAACTGAAAACTATGTACAGTGCAGATCATCAGCACGAAGTACATGCACTCAGTGAATTGAATGAAAGATTTCGCTCTATGCTCGATTATATTTATCAATTGGAAACACAAAATTCAAAATACATTTCAAAACTGATTGAATTACGGCGAAAAGTATTTCTTGCGAGTGTCAACGGTAAACTAAGTACTGAACTTACTGATCTGCACGCTGATGTCAGGGAAGTTAGCTATGCAAAAATTAGCTACGAATCGGAATTCGAACTCTTTCAAGTACAAAGTAAAATGTACCAACAGATGGCCCAGTTTGGACAGCCATCAGTCGATCAAGGACGAGTAAAATTAGAACAAGAATTGAATCAATCTGGTTCTACTCTTGCCAATCTACGTACGTCCTATGCGTCAATGGAGCAAACAGTTGTAGGCCTTCGAGCAAATTTAAAAGATACATTAAGACAGTATATGGCATTGACCAAAGAATGGTCCTCTTTGAAGAAGCAAACAAAGGAATTGAAGTGCAGTCTACAAGTGATAAATATTCAAATTCAATTTTCCAAGACAATATATTCGTATGTATTACAACGTTTTTAAATTATTTGTTTTCTTCTTTTTCATAGATAAAAGTTTTCTTTTGGTTTTAGTAAAGCTGATTTTTTTACAATGGATATGGATGATTTTGCTGAATTCTGGAAAGCTGAATGGGCACAAATTATCAATAGAGTACATAGTGATTTCGAAATATTATATGGAGCCATTTATCAAGAATCAGTCTCCCATTATGAAAAGAAAAGCAAAGAAATGCAAGTCGAATTAGAACGATTAGTAAACATTGAGAGAGAGGAGCGAGTCGAGTATGGGCAAGTTCTCGTGACACTCGAGGCTGAATATGAAGAGGTCCAAAAGGTCCATTCCCAACAAAGAGGACTTTTAATGAAAGCAGAAGCAACATACTGTAAGTTAAATGTTAAACATATCTTCTTCTATTAGCTATTTTAACAACAACAAAAAACGTGTTGTTTTCTTTGTTTCCTAGCTGAATTAGAATCTGAATATAAAGCACTTCAAATTCAATATCAAGACAAATTTGAAGCACAATCGAAAGAAATAGAATGTTTAAATGAAAATATCATAGTAATAGTGAGCAATGTCGAAGAAGTTCAACGAAGGTTAGACAGTGTGCTCTTCGTTGACGCTGAAAGTTCACTTGTTTTTTCACAATATGTCTAGAAAAATTTGCTTGGAAGGTGAAATTATCGTTTATCGTCATATGTTGGGAAAGACTGAAACAAAGAAAACAATCGAGACTTCGATTAAAAAGACAAGAACATACGTTGAGAAAAACCAATATGTAGGACCTATCAGTATTGGTAAGCGTGAAATAGAACTTGAGAAAATGACAAAGTCGGATTGATATTTTTTCTTTTCTCTTCCCTCAAAGAATGTCCTTTGGAAAGTACATACATTGCTGTGATAAATCAGTCGACGAATGCAGTCATTGATATTTCGAGGTGGCGGCTGGCTCGACGTGTTGATGCTACAGTCACTCTTCAGTATACAATACCCACTGGAGTTCAAGTTAATCCTGGTCGTGAATTAAGAGTCTATTCCAAATTTGGTAATGAAGTTTCTCAATTATCGTCAAGTGAGAGTAGTTTTTCGTCATTGATTTATGACAAACTGATCCTAAATGATATATACTCACTGGGTAAGTGATTTTATCAAGCTATTCTAATTACTATTGCTTTTCTATCGTTGTCTAGGTATCGGTGAAACTATCGAAACAGTTGTGTTGGACGATCGTGACAACGAGGTAGCATCATGTTTACAGCAAGCAGAGTCTGATTGGACAGAATAAGATTAATAGCAAAAACATTAAATTATACGGTGATCGACAATCAGACTGATAGATAACATTGAATTAGATTATTAGCCTTCTAATATTTTCTAATAGATATTTTAATATTTTTACTTTCACTAAAATAAATAAATATGTACAGTGAATTTTAAAAACTATGCTTAATGTAATTAGTCGTTTAATAGATTTATCAAAAATCGCAATATTCTTTTCTTATTGGTTTGTCCAAAGAACATGCCGAGAGTTGTTGTATTATTTAAAAGATTTAGATATTCCAATTCGAATATACTTTCAAAACCATTTATTCTGATGTTGCTGCCGGTTTACGTATTCTGCTTTGGGGATGAGACTATCGCCGCTGAACTCAACTAATTAGGGTTTGGGTATGAAGCGGCTATAGATAATTTGAAATATTTTTCGTAACCTGTGTCAATTTTTAGGAGCATTGGCGTTTTATTCCGAACATGAAACATAGTCACTCACACTCTTAGTAGATAGAATCAGTATATCGATCATTACCAATGAGACTTACTTCTTTTGCTTTTACTATCTAGGTCGTCAGCTTGGCGTTTTCGATAGAACGGTCTGTCTGCGGGGATATTGGCTAAACAAGCCAGCTTGATCTCTAATCTAAATCAATCAGTACATCGCCATGAAGAATTGACTTCACATATATTTGATGATCTGTTCGTATAATAGCGTGACTGGAAAGTAAAGCAAATAAATATCGTTCCATTTTGTAATAGTAATTCTATAGTTTTAACTTCTACTATGAGCATAGGATAGAAAATGCTTCTCAAAATTAGATTGTATTTCCATGAAAATAAATAAAAGCCAATCTTGTAAGTGAATAGTGATTGCTGAATATCTAATAGCAAATCATTGTGCAATGTTTTTATCATAATATCAGTCACGTTTGTATTTAGAGTAAAAGATAACGAATTGAAGTTAAACAAATCAATAAATTTTCTTAGCTTAGCATTATTTCTTCAAGATCTTTCAAAATGTGTAATGTGTCTGATGGCAATATGCCATCGAATTTTTATTCTTTATTATAAAATCATCTTTGTTTTGTTTATTGCCACTGTTGCTTACATGACAAAAGATATACGTATGTCGAGAATAAGTCCTAAACGATTGGAGTACTTACTCGACAATATCTTATTGGAGCAAACTTTTGTAAAAACAAAAATAGCCGACCGTTCTGTGTTAACAGTGAATTTCCATTTGAAGTGATTTTCATATGTATCACAGAACTTCCCTATCAATAGATTTTCTTCTCAATGAATACTTCAAGGACGTATCTTTCATTATTATGAATTAAAAGTAAACTATCATCAACATAGGTATGCATCTGTCTTGCCGGAGAAACAATTTCTGCTAATAGACTTTATCATAACAAAAACCTTGTGATTGATATTATACTCTTTCTTTATTCATTATACTACTGCTGCTTTATACTATATTTTTTCTTTGAATAATCCAATTGTTTCTGTCTGTTGCTTTTGGTTCTCTGGACTTTCCTTCTGTTCGTCGATTTCTCGTTTTCTTTTACAGTTCATTGCTTGATACATATTCCACTATTTCCATCATTTTTTTAATTCTATATCTACATATAAATATGTCATTCGTATTTTGCTGCAATTTTTTTCATAATAACTTCTAATTGTTACTGGTAAGCAGAAAAGTGCCTTATAATATTTTCGAACAGACATAATAGCAAACAAACAAACAATGACATTAGAGAGATTATTCGTACTTCGCTTGTAACCATTTTTCACAGTAGCTCATCAGAGAATCATGAACGTTTTATGGCTGACTATACGATTTTGATGACGAAATCAAAAGTTGTCATACATTCGAAATTCTCGAGCTGATGCATTCCATGAGCAATATTATATTGTAATAGATTTGAAAATAGTGACCTTCTTTATCAATCTCTTCTTCTTAGCTGTAAAACATTTGATAGAACTCCAATGTTTTGTTCCTTTCTTTGAATGTTCTTTAATTTGAAAAAATAAATATCAGAACCTTGATAACATCTGTAAAAACATTCCATCATGTTTTCCGTTTATTTAATTAAGGTATGTTTTGTCAACTTTAAAAGTATATTTTAGCTGGAAGCAAAAAGTCATAAGGCGTCGCGAACACTTTCTTGTATAATTAGAAGAATTTTTAAGTAACTTCCAACACGATATTTTTGACTAAATAATCAGATTTATTAGAAAAGCAAAACTTAATTTTTTCTCGCATCAAAAGTTTTTCACAGTAGATTGAATTAGTTCTGCACTTACGAATCTTAATAACAAGCAGAGATCTGTAGATTAATGTTCGAATAGATTTATTCAAGCAAGAAAAATCATCGTCCAACGGAAATTTCAAATTTTAATATATTATAGGAACTGCGACGACGTGAAAATAATAATAATAATTTGCTTAAAATGAATGAAGACATGAATTTTCAGTAGATCCAAAGTTCATCGCGTTCAATAATAAAGTGCTTTTGTCAAATTTAACAACGCTAAGATAACATCAGAATACAACAACAATACTGAAGAACCTTTATTTTGATGCGGAAGTAAACGTGAACGTATATTAATAATGAAAATGGCGCACCATTCTATACATTTGGCATCACAAAAACGATATATGCCATTTAATGAATATCTTTTTCTCGTAGAGCTCTATTAAATTTTCCAAAGAAATGTTTCCATAGGAACTTTTTCGAATAAGTATTCAAAAGAAAAATCCATCGAAGATATACTCTTATCAGTTATATTCTAACGTAAACTGACGTTATCAGCGATAATAACTATTTAGTCAGAATCAAAAGAAAATCTTACAGAGAAAAATGCTTCAATTTATATCATTGAAACTAGTCAGGCTTCATTCATTTATATATCAATAATATCCACATACAAAAACGAATAGAAAAATTATTTTCGAATAATTCCATAGACTATATGTTTTCTTTCGTGCTTGAAGGAATAATATATGTAAAAATTCGAACAGACAGAAAAACTGTTGAAATTACATTTAAAAGAAGAAGAAGAAAAAGACAAATTCACGACTATACACAGTTGTTCTATAGTGAATAATCATGATATCTTGATCATATAGATTTTTATTTTTTGTCTTTCAAAAAAAAAATAGAACGAAGAAAAAAGAAATGTATTTAATAGAATCGATTATTTCTTTTGAACCTAAATTAAACAAAGAACACATGAATAAATTTTTATTTTTAATAAACAAAATTATTTTGTTTTAAACATACCGGTAAATATAATTTAAATTCCGGTGGTAATTCATCTTCCGAATAAAGTCGATCCGAAAAGTAAACACGTCGAATACGACAATTAGCATGAATCTATAAACGAAATAAATAGTCTTTCTTTCAGAAAACTACTTCTTTCATAAAAAAATCAATATATACTTGAACTCGAAGGGTTTCAATATAATTGGTACCATAAGCACGTCGTGTAAAATCAGATAAATTAAATTGAATTTGATTCCATCCATCATCCAAACGCATTGGCATTGTACATATAAATGGCTTTACACGTGTTGTTGATTGATAATTACTAGCACGAAAACGCCGACGTACATTTCGATCATCAAGAACCTAATGTTATTTTTATTTATAAATCAAAGAAAACATGAATACACTAATTATTATTTTCTTCTTACTTGTACTTCAAATGTAAAGTATTTCTTCAAATTTTTTATAATCATAACTAGAAATGGTAATTTAATGCCTAGGGTTTTTTTTGGATCAGCTGGACATGTTACATATGTTGTACTAACATTGGTACCAACGATTTCCAAAACGAGTGATTGAATTTCGTTATCTGTTATTCTTTTGATATGCCCATTACGTACCTAAATAGATGTCAATGGGTTTTTTGTTTTTATTTAATAAGAAAAAAAAATGATTCAATCAACAGAACATACGTACTTTTTTATCCCAAATCTGTAATGGTTTACTACCGATACTGTACAGTATGGAAAGAAAGCCGCTTTGAAACGTATTTTTGAACATATCTCAAAAAGAATAAATGAATAATATTGAGAAAATGAAAGCGTTTGTGAGAAGCAAGGTCGTCATAGGTACCTCAATCACTTGGAAACACAATGCCGATGGACGACAACGACAACGACGATTATTTGTTTCTCTTTTTTTTTCTTAATAATAAACATGGCTAAATTATTACCTAGTAACCGACTCTGACACAGGGTTTAATTTATATTGAAAATTAATGAAAGACATCAAAATTTCATAAGAATGTCTTCCCGACGAAATTATTTTTGTTGCAATTGAATCAATCATTTCAAAAACAATAGAGGGCGTAAAGTGACGTACGACACATCAATTTCGAATAGGAAGAAAATGATATTCATCCGCTTCCAATCGACACCATTATACGCACATAATAGATCATTCAATCTGTTTACATCTGGTAAAAGACATCTAAACAAAAACTACCTTAAAAGTTAAATTTATTGTAGTTATTTAATAATATTCTATTCTATGACAAACATAGGTATACTGCAAATTTTAGCCATGAATAAGATAAATAAAATGATCCTATGAAGTATAGGCTTATTTCAAATAGCAGCCGAGTGAGAGAAGAAATACTTGAACTTTATCATAAGTAATCATCTCAAACTCTTTACGTTAAAGTATATATCTACTGAAATTCATATGTATAACTGTACTCTAGTCATTGATTATGCTTTCAATTTTTCACACTAGATTAATTTATTTGTCCAGGTTTCAGCGATGAAAAGAGAACAGGACGCCAAAGACATTTGTACTATACTTTAAATCAATTATATGAAAAACCTATCACCGCAATATCATTTGTATATTCATTTATTTTTGTTTTGTTTTTATTAACCTTTTCCTTTCTGTACAAATCTGCTCGAATGATCATTACTCGATGTCAATTAGATTGACATCAAGAAGAAGAAAAAAACAACATATCATGAACTATTGTTTTCAGATAACAAACAAATCAAACACTCCATCAATATTTATTTTAGCTTTTATAAAAAAAAAAACACTGGGTTTCGTATAGCAAATAGAATCACATTCTTGAATGTTGTGAAAAAAAATCATTAGTCTCTATCACGGAAGTATTTCATGGAAGCATCCATGTTGGCGTGAATGGTCCAAAATTCCATTTATCTGGATGACCAACATGTGATACTTTTGTATCAAAGTCTGATTCACTCCAAACAAATGGAGGTTGAGTATCTGATGTTGGACCAGCAATAGCAACAAGATTAAAGTTTTGCATCATTGCGTAATTAGTAATCTTTGAAGAAAAGAAAAATCATAAATTCGTTCCATTCGAACAGAAAAAAAGCATCTGCTGGAACTGTTAAAATTTCAACAAAAACCACATGTATGATGATCGATACGAGATAGGTCGATTACAGCGAAGCGATATCCCCGATCGATTAGCATTTGCTCGTAAAGTTCAAATAGAGATATAATGAGAAAAATTTTCTTTATTCTTACTTTAGCATCTGTAGCACCATGAATTCGATGGCCTAATGGTGAATCTGGATAAGTTCCATTTGATGGATTAAGATCACACCGTGCAGCAATTGTTAATTCCGATGAATATGGCGGAGAACAATTACATCTTGATAGGGGATCATTTTTGAAATCATTGTATCTATTTTTTTTGAAAATGAATTAAGCCTGTTCAAACCAGAAAAAAAGAAGGAATTTTAAATTAACCTCATCATATGGATCATAGTTGTAAGATTAACAACTGTAACATGATCACGCTCAAATATTTTTGCTCGTGATGAATTTTTCCATGAATATAATTCTGGACCTTTTTGTTTAACCAAGGCTTCTTCACCTGATAACTTTCGAAATTCTGGGAAGTAAACATTATTATAGGATGCCCAATACGTATTATTAACTAAAGTATCCGTCATATCTTCTGACAGAAAATTAGTTACCAATTGTTCAGCGACCGTTAAAAATCTAAAAGTTATGCAATAGAAAATTTCTGTTTAATCTTTCAGTTCAAGTTACCCTTTTCTTGGCGATTGTCCTGGTGTAAATTGTTTAAAATCAACAATCATCCATTCATTATTATATGTTCCATCATTGAAAAGAAAAAAATTATTAACCCAGTCTTGACCAGAATCAGATAAACGATTAGCAATAACAACACGCATCCATTCTGGTACCGATATGGGAATTATGTTATGTGTTAAATCGTCATTATTGTTATTGATGGTTGTTTCGATAATTGTCATATTACCTGGACGTGTCATGTAGAAATCATCTAAGCATAGATAGAAAAAAAACGAGGGAACCCTTTTTTTTTATACATGCATGATTAAATATAAAAAACAAACTAACCAACTGAATGAAGTGTCCCTGGGTAAGATGAAAAGATCGTATCAGCACCTGGAATAAGAGAACCTAATGAAATCAAGAAAAAAAACAATAAGAAAAAAAACACAGCCACTTAATAGATCTAACTTCCTGCCATTGGTGTTCGTTTTAATGGCATTGAATAACGCTTAATTACTTTTAGCATAGTTCGAAAATTACTCCAATCAGCATGTGATACGAATATATCACTGTTGTTTGGTAAAATCTAAATGAAATAATATTGTTTAAAAGAAAATAATCATTTTTTATTATTTGTTCTACGTTACTTTTATTAACGCTGAACAACTATCATGCTTTGGGACGTTTGGCACTTTAAGACGTCCAGCTAGATCACCAACAGATTCGACTACTTGAAATAGACTATTGAGTAGATGACGAAGAAGAAAAACAAAGGTTTTTCAGAAGAACAAAAACAAAACAATAAGGTTGATCTATTTACAAAAATGAAAGTGGATCATCTAGTTCTTTTCGTGGTCCGCGTAATGTATTGTTATAGCCATCGATAAGACCGTTTAATTGAATAAGAAGTAAATTTACCTAAATAAACGAGAAGTGTTTGAAAATAACTTTAGTTTTTGCTTTTAAATACTTGATGCCAATATTCATCATTTGGATAACTCTCAATTTGTGTATACATCCAATCGAGTTGAATGAGAAAAAATTGTTTAAGATAATGACAAAATTCTGTTTTATTAGTACAAATATCGTCTATATTATTTTGCCATTGATAGCCAATTAATTCTTTAGGAAAAGACAAAATATCAATTATTCGAATGAATTAAAAATATGAAATTTGAACCTCTTGAAAATTGCCCTTCAAGTACTCCAGCTGAATAAGCTTGATCAAAATTTGTTTCATTATCTAATGTTTGTATTTCTAATACGGACCAACCAGTTGTATTATAGGTTTGATCCCAAAATCCAGTTGCCAAGACATGATCCTCAAGTTTATTTGGTTCTTTGTAAGATGTTGCTAATGCTGTAACTACCTCATAGTTTTCATTTGTTTTCAATACGTGACCACGAAATCGCTGCGATGATAGATCATCATTTGCTGAAATTAATGTGCACGTACTAAGCACAAACAAAACGAAATACTGAGCAAACATTCCTATCTGAAAAAAAAAGAACAAATGGTTTCAGTTTTCACCATTGATAAACAATTGCTTCGCAGATAGATAAGAAATATTTAAACAAGAAAAAAGAGAATTCGAACACATTAGATTAGATCTCTTGTAAACAAATGATGAAGACTATTTTAATATTTCACAAAAAAATTCGTTGGTGACAATTTAATTTTAAGTCACAAGGAGATTTTAAAAATTCTTTGAAATCTAAAAAAAGAACGTCTCCATGCCCCATTTATCATTCATTATTGCTGCACCAGCTGCCCTGTCAACAGCTTTTCTATTGAATGACATTTTTTTTATTCAACTAACAAAACAAAGACACATATATACATACACAACATACTAATTATCAATTTGTGGAATAAAATCTCTCTTTGTTCATCCTACTCTCTATTACTAATCTTTCTTTAACATCAATTGATGTTCTCCATAAGTATCATTGACTGCTTCCAAACAACATATATCTTTTGTCAAACGTCAAGAACGTGAGATCGGAAGCAATGTCACGTCAAGTTCGATTATTAATCAAAAAAGGCGATTTAAATTCTTTTTTGTTTTATTTGTTGACAAAAGTCGTCTTTATGATCATCGATTCATCAAAAGAATCGACGAAGACAAATAATAAGCCAAACAAAGAAAAAAATTAAAGGGTTATGAGCAACAACAACAAACATGCACTGATCGTATCAATTGTAAAAAGAAAGAAAAGAAAATGAAACACTTTCCCCCGATATTTAAATATATATTTCTTTTGTTTTCTTGTCCAATAAAATTTAAAATCGAATGAAATACATTCTCACCTTCGACAGAAAAGAAAAAATTCACAAAAAAAAAGAAAACAATAAAATTCGATCTCGCATAGGCACAAAAAGAAGATGAGGTATAAGATTCAGACAACATAGAAAGGAATGGAATACTCAAAGGGGTACACGAAAACTGAAATAATAACTCGTAAACAGAAGAAAAAAGTCATCACATACTCTCGCAAAAACACTATGATAGATAAATAAATGAGCAAAAAACAACAGCTAAGATAGTTTTTTTGTTTTAAGATTTTTTCTTACATTCTAAAATAAGGTACTTGAAAATGAGGATTTTATCGCTGCAGCAACAGGCATACCAGAACGATGAAAATGAACACATAGCCAACGACTGTCTTTTTTATGCCACACACGAGTTTCTTCTGTTCGGACACTTTGTGCTTGGCCATTTCTTAAAAAACAAATTCAAATATAGATAAGAGAAAAACTCTCAATTCTAACCGATCAATATACTGAAGTAGTAACACATAAGCTATACAAGCTGATTCGTCTCCTAATGTATGCACTACTGGTGTTAACATTGTACAATTAATTGTTGGTTTACTTGCTTTAGCCGATAAAACTAAAATATTACCGAAAATAATTTTATCAAAATTGTAAAATTAATTAGAATAAATAATAGAAAAGAATAAAATAAGCTACATCATTACAAATATTACATAGACAGAATGTTTTGTTTTTTAATTACCTGTATCAGAACGAGCAAATCTTCCTGAAAAAGAAATTTTGGGGTAATGAACGTAACACAAAAGACAGAGGGCAAAAAGAGGTTCCTATGGGCATGTCTAAAGTTAGGATTTGAATTGATTTTTTCTTAACATACCTGTATCAAAATAAAATTTATGAAAATCAAGACCTTCGACAAGATTTCCTATGGTTTCAGGTTCAAAACAAGTTATTTTTGGATCACATAATGATCTAAAAAAACAAATTATCCAGTGCAAATATTTTATAGAAAAGAATTTTTTTTATTTACTCACTTATACATTTCATAGTCACTATTTGCAATGGCTTGTAATAATTGTTCGGTTACTTTAGTTATTTCTAAACCTAAAATTACAAGAGACAAAAAAAGCAACATATATAGATATGCTATTTCAAATGTTGACAAACAATGAAAAAAATTAATTTCTTTATCCCAGTGTTATAAGTAAAAAATAAACAAGTGATTATCGGCGTGTTACACGAATAAAATAGCATCTCATTATTATTTTGCTTTTGCTTACTTAATTTTCCTACTTTATTTACGGATGTTGTGATTTTCTTTTCAGCTATTTATTGATATTTTTTGTTAATTTCATTTAAATAATAGAGTAAACAAAAGCTTGCTTATCTACTTACTCAGCCGATCAATACGTTCAATATCATTGGTATCATCAATAGTTGCACTATTACTATCGCCAGATTCTTTAATGGCACTACTACCACCACTTTGAGTTGTTGCTCGAGAACGATTACCTAAAACAAGAAAATCAATTATTGAAATATCAATAAACATCAGAAGCAAAAATGTGACTATATCCTCTCATATGGTTCAAGCAAGAGGAGATATGCACGCTGAAGCATTTTGAAAAAAAGTTACAGTACACAAGAAAAAGATAATTCAATAACAGTGTCTTTGCCTTTCAAACTACATGCATAACAAAATCGAGCAGGTGTACAGGAAGAAACACATCCAAATATATATATATATATGCACGCGCGTACCTCCACTAGCAGGAGCTGACATAATCGGATTTGTAGTTGGTGATATCGGTCCTGTGCTGCTGGATGATTTTTTGCCATTAGTAGTTGATTGTATTCCAGTCGCAGATACTGCTGCATCTAAAAATTGATCCAGTCATTTCCAATGAGGTGCTTATTATTTTTTAATATTCGTGCCCATATAAATGAAAAACCATTTATTTGTTTTCTCGTACAAGAACAAATGCACACACATATCCAAATCACAAGATAATATAGAGGAAAGAAAAAACAAACTAAGCTCGAGCAGGGAAAATCGAAAAAACAAACAGATATATATATATATATATATATCAATGCACAAAAAAAAAGAAAATTTATTATGAAGTGAAGAACTATATTGTCTATACCATGCGGCAAGAAAAAGAAATATATATATATATATATGTATATATATATATGTATATATTAAGACAAATATTATTTTCTTAATTATGAAAAATACCAAACGAAGAAGAAAAAACCCAAAAATTTGTTTAGATGAAAACAAAACAATGTTTTCTCAAAAGAGAAAAATACTGTCTAGATTATATTTAATGTCGAAATAAATTCTTTGTGGATAAATGTACGTATTTTTCAGTTCAAGCTCGTATCCACCTCTAAATAAAGCACAGAGAAATTTAACGAGAAAAAATAGAACTAAATCTAACGAAATAAACCATTTGACTGTTGAAAAGAAATTAAAGAAAGAAAAACAAAAACAAGACGATCAACTTTGTATGTATGCAAACAAGACTTCAGATTCGCATCAGATCAAGAATAATTACATACACACATTAAATTTACAAAATGCAAAGCAAAGAAGGATATGCTGGTAAATGAATGGCATGCAATTGATATTTCATTTTTACTTACTAGGTATTAATGTACGATTGACAAACATTGTTGATAGAATAGCTCCCTTAAGAAAATTATAAAATTAATTCAATTTTATGTTTTCTTTTTCTAGATAAAAAAAAGAAGTAGCGTACAATGATGAAAACCAAACAAACTACGGCGAAAAACATTGTTAGATAAGCAATGCTCGAAAATTGAAACGGCAAAGAATGAAATGTTTTTTTTTCTTCGTTTATTAGTATGAAGGCTGTATTTAATAGGATTAATTACCTTTAATTTTCGTCGTGCATTGAATTTACGTAAACAATCAACAGTCTCTTGTCGATGAATTGTCCCAGCGACGCGTTCTCGTTGCTGGAAAAATAAAAATAGATTTTGTTTTAGTGCGCTTGATGCTTCTGGTTGTTTTGCTCGTACATTTTCATCAAATCCAGAATAGAATGCTTGACTCCTCGTCTTCGGCGTCTTTTTTTTCTATCTATGTCACTCTCACCCCCTCTCTCTCTCTTTTTTTTTTATCTATGATGACTCTCAGTTATTTTCTTTGCGGCAGTCAAAAAGGAAGCATAGGATGCACTAATGCATTCTGTTCTGACGTTTTTGTTTCTCGTTGCTGTCGAATACTTAGTTTCGATTACGCTACTCACGCCATAAACATTTTTTCCTGTTCTATCATCTGACTATTTCTCGTCCATTGAGCAAACAAACCAGTAAATAAATCATAAATTTTAGAAAAAGTCACGAATCATTCCGAGTAATCAATACTCATATGACTTACACAAATCCATGGATGTTTGAGAGCATCAGTCGCGCTAATACGTCGACTTGGATTGATACTAAGCATTGAATCAATTAATCGTTTCGCTTCCGTTGTTACTGTATCCCATTCCGGTGATGGATACTAAATAAACGACAAACAAAACATAGAAAAATGATAGCATATTTTTTGTTTTTCAACTACTGACATCATAGGCGCCGCTTTTTATTTGATTATATAAACGATGTTGATCTTCGTCCCAAAATGGTGGGTAACCGACAAGAAGAATATATAATATAACACCTAATATATTAATTATTAATTAATTTTTTTACGGAAGGAAACTATTTTTATCAGCACGATCTTACCACAAGCCCATATATCGACAGGTTTACCGTAGGGTTCTTTCTTAAGTACTTCAGGACTAAGATAACCTGGAGTTCCAGCAAAGCCTATGAATAGATTTCAATAATTATTTTGTAAATCCATTAAGACCTCTTTTTTGTTTCACTATGAATACATACCATACCATTGCGTTTGTTCACCATTGACTTCAATGGCAAGACCAAAATCAGCAAGTTCTTAAAAAAGGAAAAGAAAGTTTTTAGATCAAATCACTTTTTTTTTATATTCGATTAGATCAAGGGAAAAAGAATAGTTCCGTTCATTGCCTACAACGGAAATGATCTGCATAATTTTTCTTTCCTTTTTCTATACAGAAGAAAAAAAGTAAAGCTCAATGACCTTGAAAATTTTGAAATAAAGCTTTTCTTTTTCAAAAATACTTACTAACAGCTGCACCTTTTGTTTTACTAGCGAGT